CTGCCTATCTTCCTATCTGTCAGTCTGTCTGCCGGTCGGTCTGTCTGGTTTTCTGTCCGTCTATCTGTCTGCCTGTCTGTCTGTCTGTATATCAGCCTGTCTCTCTCTGCTGGTGTGTCTGTCTGCGAAGCTTTAGGTATTCCTTTTAATTTGTCTGCCTGCCAGTGTGTGTATCTCTTTCTCTTCCTGTGTTTCTGTATGTCTGCGAGTCCGTGGGTCTGCGTGTCTGTCTGCCTGTTTTCCTATCTGTCTGTCTGTCCGCCTGTCGGTCTACCTGCCTGTGTATCTCTCTCTCTCTGCCCGTGCATCTTACTGTCTGCGAGTCTATTGGTCTGCCCTTTTGTCTGTCTATCTGTGTGCCTGTCTGTCTGTGTGCCCGTCTGCCTGTCTGCCTGTCTGCCTCTGTCTGCATGTCTGTCTGTCTGTCTGTATATCGGCCTGTCTGTCTCTGCCGTCTGTCTGCGATGCTGTAGGTATTCCTGTCTATCTGTCTGCCTGACTGTCTGTGTATGTCTTTCTTTTCCTGTGTGTCTGTATATCTGCGAGTCTGTGGGTCTGTGTGACCGTCTGCCTATCTGTCAGTCTGTCTGCCGGTCTGTCTCTCTTCCTGTGTGTCTGTATGTCTGCGAGTCTGTGGGTCTGTGTGACTGTCTGCCTATCTGTCTGCCGGTCTGTCCATCTGTGTACCTGTCTGTCCGTCTGCCCGTCTGCCTGTCTCTCTGACTATATATCTGTCTGTCTGTACGTCTAACTGTCTGTCTCTGCCGGTCTGTCTATCAGTGAAACTGTAGGTATTCCTGACTATCTGTCTTCCTGACTGTCTGTGTATCTCTCTCTACCAGTGTGTCTGTTTGTCTGCGAATCTGTGTGACCGACTGCCTATCGTCCCATCTGTCTGTCTGCCTTTCTGTCTGTCTATCTGTGTACCTGTCTGTCTGTCTGCCTGAGTCTCTGTCTACATATCTGTCTGTCTATAAGTCTACCTGTCTGTCTCTGCCTGTGTGTCTGTCTGCGAGGCTTTAGGAATTCCTGCCTGTCTGTCTGCCTGTCTGTCTGTCTCTCTCTCTGTCTGCCCGTGCGTCTGACTGTTTGCGAGTCTATTGGTCTGCCTTTCTGTGTGTCTATCTGAGAGCCTGTCTGTCTGTCTGCCCGTCTGCCTGCTTCTCTGTCTGCATGTTTGGCTGTCTGTATATCAGCCTGTCTGTCTGCCTGCCTGTCTGTGTATCTCTCTCTCTCTTTCTTTCTGTGTTTTTGTATGTCTACGAGTCTGTGGGTCTGCGTGTCTGTCTGCCTGTTTTCCTATCTGTCTTTCTGTCCGCCTGTCGGTCTATCTGTCTATCTATCTCTCTCTCTCTCTGCCCGCGCGTCTGACTGTCTGCGAGTCTATTGGTGTGCCTTTCTGTCTGTCTATCTGAGTGCCTGTCGGTCTGTCTGCCCGTCTGCCTGCCTCTCTGTCTGCATGTTTGGCTGTCTGTATATTTGCCTGTTTGTCTCTGCCGGTGTGCCTACCTGCCTGTCTGTGTATCTCTCTCGCTGTCTTTCTGTGTTTCTGTATGTCTGCGGGTCTGTGGGTCTGCGTGTCTGTCTGCCTGTTTTCCTACCTGTCTGTCTGTCCGCCGGTCGGTCTACCTGTCTGTCTGTCTCTCTCTCTCTGCCCGTGCATCTTACTGTCTGCGAGTCTATTGGTCTGCCTTTCTGTCTGTCTATCTGTGTGCCTGTCTGTCTGTCTGCCCGTCTGCCTGTCTCTCTGTCTGCATGTCTGTCTGTCTGTATATCAGCCTGTCTGTCTCTGCCGGTGCGTTTGTCTGCGATGCTGTAGGTATTCCTGTCTATCTGTATGCCTGACTGTCTGTGTATCTCTCTCTCTTCCTGTGTGTCTGTATGTCTGCGAGTCTGTGGGTCTGTGTGACCGTCTGCCTATCTGTCAGTCTGTCTGCCGGTCTGTCTCTCTTCCTGTGTGTCTGTATGTCTGCGAGTCTGTGGGTCTGTGTGACTGTCTGCCTATCTGTCTGCCGGTCTGTCCATCTGTGTACCTGTCTGTCCGTCTGCCCGTCTGCCTGTCTCTCTGACTACATATCTGTCTGTCTGTAAGTCTACCTGTCTGTCTCTGCCGGTGTGTCTGTCAGCGAGGCTGTAGGTATTCCTGCCTATCTGTCTTCCTGACTGTCTGTGTATCTCTGTTTACCTGTATGTCTGTTTGTCTGCGAATCTGAGGGTCTATGTGACCGTGGGCATACCCTCCTATCTGTCTGTCTGTCTGCCTTTCTGTCTGTCTATCTGTCTGCCTGTCTGTCTGTTTGTATATCAGCCTGTCTCTCTCTGTCGGTGTGTCTGTCTGCGGGGCTTTAGGTATTCCTGCCAATCTGTCTGCCTGCCTGTCTGTGTATCTCTCTCTTTCTTCCCGTGTGTCTCTATGTCTGCGAGTCTGTGGGTCTGCGTGTTTGCTGCCTGTTTTCTTATCTGTCCGCCGGTCAGTCTGTCTGTCTCTCTCTCTGCCCAGGCGTTTGACTGTCTGTGAGTCTATTGGTCTGCCTTTCTGTCTATCTATCTGAGTGACTGTCTGTCTGTCTGCCCGTCTGCCTGCCTCTCTGTCTGCATTTCTGTCTATCTGTATATCATCCTGTCTGTCTCTGCCAGTGCGTCTGTCTATCTGTCTGCCTGACTGTCTGTGTATCTCTCTCTCTTCCTGTGTACCTGTACGTCTGCGAGTCTGTGGGTCTGTGTGACCGCCTGCCTATCTTCCTATCTGTCAGACTGTCTGCCGGTCTGTCTGTCTGCCTTTCTGTCTGTCTATCTGTCTGTCTGTCTGTATATCAGCCTGTCTGTCTCTTCCGGTGCGTCTGTCTGCGATGCTGTAGGTGTTTCGGTCTATCTGTCTGCCTGACTGTCTATGTATCTCTTTCTCTTCCTGTGTGTCCGTATGTCTGCGAGTCTGTGGGTCTGTGTGACCGTCTGCCTATCTTCCTATCTGTCTGTCTGTCTGCCTTTCTGTCTGTCTATCTGTGTACCTGTCTGTCTGTCTGTCTGTCTGCCCGTCTGCATGTCGCTCTGTCTACATATCTGTCTGTCTGTAAGTCTACCGGTCTGTCTCTGCCGGTGTGTCTGCCTGCGAGGCTGTAGGTATTCCTGCCTATCTGTTTGCCTGCCTGTCATTGTATCTCCCTCTCTCTCTTCCTTTGTGTCTCTATGTCTGTGAGTCTGTGCGTCTGCGGGCCTGTCTGCCTATCTGTCAGTCTGTCTGACTGTCTGTCTCTCTTCCTGTGTGTCTGTTTGTCTGCGAGTCTGTGGGTCTATGTGACCGTCTTCTTATCTGTCTGTCTGTCTGCCTTTTTGTCTGTCTGCCCTTTTGTCTGTCTATCTGTGTACTTGACTGTCTGTCTGCGCGACTGCCTCTCCCTCTGTCTACATATCTGTCGGTCTGTAATTCTACCTGCCTGTCTCTGCCGGTGTGTCTGCCTGCGAGGCTGCAGGTATTCCTGCCACTCTGTCTGCCTGTCTGTCTGTCTCTCTCTCTGCCCAGGCGTTTGGCTGTTTGCGAGTCTATTTATCTGCCTGTCTGTCTGCCCGTCTGCCTGTCTCTCTGTCTGCATCTGTCTGTCTGTCGTCGTCTGATATCAGTCTGTTTGTCTCTGCCGGTGCGTCTGTCTATCTGTCTGCCTGACTGTCTGTGTATCTTTCTCTCTTCCTGTGTGCCTGTACGTCTGCGAGTCTGTGGGTCTGTGTGACCGTCTGCCTATCTTCCTATCTGTCAGTCTGTCTGCCGCTCTGTATGTCTGCCTTTCTGTCTGTCTATCTGCGTGCCTGTCTGTCTGTCTGTATATCAGCCTGTCTCTCTCTGCCTGTATGTCTGTCTGCGGGGCTTTAGGTATTCCTGCCAATCTGTCTGCCTGCCAGTCTGTGTATCTCTCTCTCTCTCTTCCTGTGTTTCTGTATGTCTGCGAGTCCGTGGGTCTGCGTATCTGACTGCCTGTTTTCCTTTCTGTCTGTCTGCCCGCCGGTCAGTCTGCCTGTCTCTCTCTCTGCCCAGGCGTTTGACTGTTTGTGAGTCTAGTGGTCTGCCTTTCTGTCTATCTATCTGAGTGCCTGTCTGTCTGTCTGCCCGTCTGCCCGCCTCTCTGTCTGCATTTCTGTCTATCTGTATATCATCCTGTCTGTCTCTGCCAGTGCGTCTGTCTATCTGTCTGCCTGACTGTCTGTGTATCTCTCTCTCTCTCTCTCTTCCTGTGTGCCTGTACGTCTGCGAGTCTGTGGGTCTGTGTGACCGTCTGCCTATCTTCCTATCTGTCAGTCTGTCTGCCGGTCTGTCTGCCTGCCTTTTTGTCTGTCTATCTGTGTGCCTATCTATCTGTCTGTATATGAGCCTGTCTGTCTCTGCCGGTATGTCTGCCTATCTTCCTATCTGTATGCCTGACTGTCTGAGTATCTCTCTCTCTCTCTTCCTGTGTGCCTGTACGTCTGCGAGTCTGTGGGTCTGTGTGACCGTCTGCCTTTCTTCCTATCTGTCAGTCTGTCTGCCGGTCGGTCTGTCTGCCTTTCCGTCTGTCTATCTGTCTGCCTGTCTGTTTGTATATCAGCCTGTCTCTCTCTGCCGGTGTGTCTTTCTGCGGGGTCGTCAATGACGACCTAAAAAATACTAAACGGGCTGTACAAACATCTTAGTGATTGTCAACCCCTCTGCAAATAATTATTTTTATTATATTGTCTATGTTTAATATAAAAAAATACACGTAAAAAAAGTGATGAAAATGTAAAATGCAATAGCTGAGCGCTTCCCACAAAGCAAAACGCATGTTGAAAAGGCTGCCGCCATCATTTTGAATTGAAAACGCATTTGAACAATTTGCCGCAGTCGCTGTGCGCTAAGAATTAAGCAATAAACGCCAATTGAATCATTTTGTTATTTATTCCAAGCCAGAGTTTATTGTTACTCCCTTATATACACATTTAGCAAACTAACCAAAAAACATAATCAAATAAAAATCGCATTTGAAACGCGTTTTGCCTAATTAGTTTATAAGTATACTACGTCCAGAAGCGGACAAAATGGCGCCGACAACGACAATTGAAACTATTACAATCACAAGGCCCCTCAAGGTGATTGCATTTATATGCGGAGTCATAGTGGTGGTATTGATGGTTATGGCATTGGCCTCCACGGATTGGCTAATGACTGCTGGCTGGCGGCAGGGTCTATTTGTGCATTGTATTGAGGATGATTCAATGCCGCCGCTGCTATTCAATATACAGGATCCACCAGGCTGCTATTGGACCCGCGATATTGGCTACATCAAGGTAACCCCTGCGCTTTGTATTATCACATTGATAACGGACGTCATAGCCACAGTGCTGACTGGACTGGGCCTTAAGTCGCAGAATCATAATCTTAAATATAAATGTTATAGAATTGCAGTGCTAGTAATGCTCGTTTCATTACTGGCCGTGCTGTCCGCTCTGATTGTCTATCCAGTGTGCTTTGCAGGCGAACTCACAAAGGCTAATCGACGCGATTGGGAGTTTGGCTGGGCCTATGGCGTTGGCTGGGGCGGAGCAATTTTCTTATTTGGCGCCGTGGTTCTGTTGCTATGCGACAAAGAATCTGAGGAGATCTACTATAAGGAGAGAAAAATTGTACATGAAAACCAAATGCGCGCATAGGCAAGGCCGCACGACCTGCCTGACGTCGTTTTTTATACATAAGCATCTAGCAACCAATACACACACACTCACACACAGAGACACTCACAGACGTATAAAAATTTCAATTTGACTCAAGACTCAAAAACAAAGAACTCGATCAAAATTGTAATTTTCGTCAAAAACTTTAGTTAGACTTCTGATTACGTCCATCATCAACCAATTTAAGCCAAAAATGAAACCAGAACGACTTGACTAACTTCTCCCCACAGTACTGGGTGTTAGTTAAATAAGACTTTTTTTTTTATTTTAATTTTTTTTTCTTCATAAGTTTCCCCATACTGAAAGGTAATTTTCCAAAACACACATACACATACGCCGCATCTGACATATAATGAAATATATACACCAAATCGTGTCCAATCTATCTACCTACCTATATAACAACATAATGATATATGTATAATTGCAATTTATGTCAGCGAGTTTTACAAAATTGTAATATTTAGTCTGCTCTTTGGCATAAATGTGACGAAAGCACAACAAAATTGTACTCAATGTACTCATATAAAACATATATTTAAAAAAAAATTATTCAGCTACATACCAGTCGTATACCTAGAAAATTATCATAGAAATTCATAGTCGTTTACACATGCAATCCTTCCAAATATGTATGTATGTAACCTTACTATAATCGATCCATACTCCCAAAACGAAACAAATATTTCGACAATACTACATCGAAACAAAATGTATGTGAACTTTAATTATTTTCGTTCACTAATTTTCCTCAAGTAAACAGTTTGCAAATGCATTGCCAGGCTTATTTTTTTTTTTTAAGTTTTGATATATATAAAATGAGTTTGTTTCACTTGTATTGTGTTGTGTGTCAGTGCTCCCTAAATACCCAATACACTCGAATATACATATTTTTGTATTTTAGCCACTCACCTTTTGTATAATACTTAAACCGTCCCGTCTACCACTCAGTTCACTTTAAATATTTTTTTAAGTTAATATCGTATATGCAATATTTTTAACAGACTTAATTTGGCAGCTTGTTTTTTTAGAGCACAATTGTAACCGCAGCATAATTTATTTTTACATTTTTATTTATAATTGTACATTTGAATTGTGTTTTATGCTATACTTACATATCAAATCCAATTAAATATAATAAGGTATTCCTGCCAATCTGTCTGCCTGCCAGTCTGTGTATCTCTCTCACCCTCTGTGTTTCTGTATGTCTGCGAGTCTTTCTGTCTGTCTTTCCACCGGTCGGTCTGCCTGTCTGTCTGTCTCTCTCTCTCTCTCTCTCTGCACGTGCGTCTGACTGTCTGCGAGTCTATTGGTCTGCCTTTCTGTCTGTCTATCTGAGTGCCTGTCTGTCTGTCTGCCTGCCTCTCTGTCTGCATGTTTGGCTGTCTGTATATCAGCCTGTCTGTCTCTGCCGGTGTGTCAGCCTGCCTGTCTGTGTATCTCTCTCTCTCTCTTTCTATGTTTCTGTATGTCTGCGAGTCTGTGGCTCTGCGTGTCTGTCTGCCTGTTTTCCTATCCGTCTGTCTGTCCGCCGGTCGGTCTAACTGTCTGTCTATCTCTCTTTCTCGCTATTGCGAGTCTATTGGTGTGCCATTCTGTCTGTCTATCTGTGTGCCTGTCTGTCTGTCTGCCCGTCTGCCTGTCTCTCTGTCTGCATGTTTGGCTGTCTGTATATCAGCCTGTCAGTCTCTGCCGGTGTGTCTGCTTGCGAGGCTGTAACTGTTCCTGCCTATCTGTCTGCCTGCCTGTCTGTGTGTCTCTCTCTCTCTCTTCCTGTGTGCCTGTACGTCTGCGAGTCTGTGGCTCTGTGTGACCGTCTGCCTATCTTCCTATCTGTCAGTCTGTCTGCCGGTCGGTCTGTCTGCTTTTCTGTCTGTCTATCTGTCTGCCTGTCTGTCTGTCTGTATGTCAGCCTGTCTCTCTCTTCCGGTGTGTCTGTCTGCGAAGCTTTAGGTATTCCTGTTAATTTGTCTGCCTGCCAGTGTGTGTATCTCTCTCTCTCTCTTTCTGTGTTTCTGTATGTCTGCGAGTCCGTGGGTCTGCGTGTCTGTCTGCCTGTTTTCCTATCTGTCTGTCTGTCCGCCTGTCGGTCTACCTGTCTGTGTATCTCTCTCTCTCTGCCCGTGCATCTTACTGTCTGCGAGTCTATTGGTCTGCCCTTCAGTCTGTCTATCTGTGTGCCTGTCTGTCTGTCTGCCCGTCTGCCTGTCTCTCTGTCTGCATGTTTGTCTGTCTGTATATCAGCCTGTCTGTCTCTGCCGGTGCGTCTGTCTGCGATGCTGTAGGTATTCCTGTCTATCTGTCTGCCTGCCAGTCTGTGTATTTCTCTCTCTCTCTCATCCTGTGTTTCTGTATGTCTGCGAGTCCCTGGGTCTGCGTGTCTGACTGCCTTTTTTCCTTTCTGTCTGTCTGTCCACCGGTCGGTCTGCCTGTCTGTCAGTCTCTCTATCTCTGCTCAAGCGTCTGACTATCTGCGGGTCTATTGGTCTGCCTTGCTGCCTGTCTATCTGAGTGCCTGTCTGTCTGTCTGTCTGCCCGTCTGCCTGCCTCTTTGTCTGCATGTTTGTCTGTCTGAATATCAGCCTGTCTGTCTCTGCCGGTGCATCTGTCTGCGATGCTGTAGGTATTCCTGTCTATCTGTCTGCCTGCCAGTCTGTGTATCTCTCTCTCTCTCTTCCTGTGTTTCTGTATGTCTGCGAGTCTGTGGGTCTGCGTGTCTGTCTGCCTGTTTTCCTTTCTGTCTGTCTGTCCGTCGGTCTCTCTCTCTCTCTCTCTGCCCGTGCATCTTACTGTCTGCGAGTCTATTGGGTGCCTTTCTGTCTGTCTATCTGTGTGCCTGTCCGTCTGTCTGCCCGTCTGCCTATCTCTCTATCTGCATGTCTGTCTGTCTGTATATCGGCCTGTCTGTCTCTGCCGGTGCGTCTGTCTATCTGTCTGTCTGCGAGTCTGTGGGTCTGTGTGACCGTCTGCATTGCTTCCTATCTGTCAGTCTGTCTGCCCGTCTGTCTGTCTACCTTTCTGTCTGTCTATCTGTGTACCTGTCGACATATCTATCTGTCTGTCTCTGCCTGTCTGTCTTTGCCGGTGCGTCTGTCTATCTTTCTGCCTGACTGTCTGTGTATCTCTCACTCTTCCAGTGTATCTGTATGTATGCGAGTCTGTGGGTCTGTGTGACCGTCTGCCCATCTTTCTATCTGATAGTCTGTCCGCCGTTCTGTCTTGCTGTCCGTCTATCTACCTGCTTGCTGTCCGTCTATCTACCTGCCTGTCTGTCTTTCTGTCCGTCTCTCTGTCTACATATCTGTCTGTCTGTAAGTCTACCTGTCTGTCTCTGCCGGTGTGTCTGCCTGCGAGGCTTTAGGTATTCCTGCCTGTCTGCATGTCTGTCTGTGTATCTCTCTCACTCTTCCTGTGTGTCTCTATGTCTGCGAGTCTATGGGTCTGCGTGTCTGTCTGCCTGTTTTCTCATCTGTACGCCGGTCGGTCTGCCTGTCTGTCTGTCTCTCTCTCTGCCCGTGCGTCTGACTGTCTGTGAGTCTATTGGTCTGCCTTTCTGTCTATCTATCTGTGTGCGTGTCTGTCTGTCTGCCCGTCTGCCTCTCTCTCTGTCTGCATGTCTATCTGTCTGTATATCAGCCTGTCTGGCTCTGCCGTTGCGTCTGCCTATCTTCCTATCTGTCTGCCTGACTGTCTGTGTATCTCTCTGTCTTCCTGTGTGCCTGTATGTCTGTGGGTATGTGGGTCTGTGTGATCGTCTGCATATCTTTCAATCTGTCAGTCTGTCTGCCGGTCTGTCGTCTGCCTTTCTGTCTGTCTATCTGTTTACCTGTTTGTCTGTCTGCCGAAATATCTACCTGTTTCTAACTCTACCTGTCTGTCTCTGCCTGTCTGTCTTTGCCGGTGCGTCTGTCTATCTTTCTGCCTGACTTTCTGTGTATGTATCTCTCTCTTCCTATGTGTATGTATGTCTGCGAGTCTGTGGGACTGTGTGACCGTCTGCCTATCTTCCTATCTGTCAGTCTGTCTGCCGGTCTTTCTGTCTATCTGTGTATCTGTCTGTCTGCCTGCCCGTCTTCCTGTCTATATATATGTCTTTCTGTAAGTCTGCCTGTCTGTATCTGCCGGTGTGTCTGTCTGCGAGGCTTTAGGTATTCTTGCCTGTCTACATGTCTGTCTGTGTATCTCTCTCTCTTCCGGTTTGTTGGTTTGGCTGTGAGTCTGTGGGTCTTCGTGTCTGTCTGCCTGTTTTCCTATCTGTCTGCCTATCTGCCTCTCTCTCTCTCTCTCTCTCTCTCTGCGAGTCTATTGGTCTGCCCTTCTGTTTAACTATCTGTGTACCTGTCTGTCTGTCTGCCCGTCTGCCTGTCTCTCTGTCTACAGATCTGTCTGTCTGTAAGTCGTCCTGTCTTTCTCCGCCGGTGTGCTTGCCAGCGAGGATATAGGTATTACTGCCTATCTGCCTGTCTGTGTATCTCTCTGTCTCTGCCTGTGTGTCTGTATGTCTACGAGTCTGTGAGTCTGCGTGTCTGTCTGCCTAATTTTCTACCTGTCTGTCTATCTGTCTCTCTCTCTCTCTCTCTCTCAGTCCGTGCGTCTGACTGTCTGCGAGTCTGTTGGTCTGCCTTTCTGTCTGTCTATCTGTGTGACTGTTTGTCTGCCCGTCTGCATGTCTCTCTGTCTGCATATCTGTTTGTCTGGTCGTCTGAATGGCTGTCTGCATGCCTGTCTGTCTGTGTCTTTTTGAGTCTGACTAGCTGTATGCCTTTCAGTCTGTCTGTCTGTGTGCCCGTCTGCCTGTCTCTTTGTCTGCATGTCTATCCTTCTGTATATCTGTCTGCCTGTCTCTACCGGTGTGTCTGTCTGCGAAGCTGTAGGTATTCCTGTCTTTCTGTCTGCCTACTTGTCTGTTTTTCTGCCTGTCTTCCATGCTGTCTGTCTGTCTGGCTGTCTTCCTGTTTGTCTGTCGGTATGGCGGTCTGTCTGTGTGCTGTCTGTCATTCTCTCTCTGCTTGTGTGTCTTACGGTCTGCTAGTCTGTAGGTCTGCCTGTCTTTCTATCTGCCTGTCTGTCTCTCTGCCAGTATGTCTGTCTGTCTGCGACTTTGTATTTTTGTCTGTCTTTCTGTGTAGCTGCCTCTCTGCTGTCTGGCTGTCTCTCTCTCACTCTCTGACTGTGTTTCTGTCTGTCTGCGAGTCTGTGGGTCTGCATGTCTTCATTTCTGTCCGTCTGTCTGCTGGTCTCTTAACCTGTCTGTCTGTCTGCCTCTCTGTCTGCGTGCCTGTATTTCTCTCTCTGCCTGTGTCTTTCTATCTGTGTGTGTCTGTTGTCGAGTCTGTGAGTCAGCCTACCTGTCTGTTTGTCTCTATCTCTCTCACTCTGTCTTTATGTCTGCCTGTCCGAATCGCTGTCTGTAGCCTGTCTGTCTGTCTCTTTTTCAGTCTGACTTTCTGTATGTGCCTGTGTGTCTGCTTGCCTGTCTTCCTGTCTGGTTGTATGTATGTCTGCCTGTCTGTCTTCTGTCTGCATGTCTGTCTTTCTGTACATCTGCCCGTATGTCTCTTTCGGTGTGTCGGTTTGCGAAGCTCTAGGGATTCCATTCTACCTGTCTGCCTGACTGTCTGTATATCACTCTCTCTTCCTGTGTGTCTGTATGTCTGCGAGTCTGTGGGTCTGCGTGACCGTCAGCCTATCTTCCTATCTGTCTGTCTGTCTGCCTGTTTGTCTGCTTTTCTGTCTCACTCTCTGCCCGTCTGCCTGTCTCTCTGTCTGCATGTCT